GACTGGGCAGACATGCAGATGTCCAAAGTCAAGTGAGTGTGGAGCCTGGATGTTTGCAGCTTGTATAAAGACTAAACGATTGAGATTTAAACAGGCCTATGTTTTGATAATCCAGGGCACTGGATTCATTTACGGAATCTCTAATGTATCATATTCCAAATTGAACAGAGTAAATACATATTTGCTTTCCAAAGGTCTCTGGTTGGTTTGGGACAAGAAGAGCAAATGGCACAGGAGTCCCCTCCCATAGAGACCATGCTTTATGACAATGACCAGGGGTTCTTTGGAGGTTTGTGTCTGTATATGTATGTATCTTTAGAGCGCTTCAGTCAGAAAGATATTCATATTCAGAAAGACTCAAAATGGAATCATCTGAATCCTCCTTTATCTTAAAGCAGCCCACTGCATACACAACCACGTTCTTAGAATAAACCAAAATGCACTTTGACTGCACTGTAACTAAGCAAGCAGCCAAAGACGAGCTTTTACCAAAAAGGTATCCACTTAGTGTTTTTATTTTTTTGGTTCCAAGTTCAGGTGAATAGTTCTGACATCTGTGACTTCAGTGTGTTTAAAAACTCTCACAGGATTGTCTGGTTTCTCATCATCTTTGCAGCCTCCAAGACAGTGCGCAGCCCTCGGCCCCCGTACGTGTTCCTGCGGGTCGGAGAGGTGGTGATGGAGAGGAAAGGCCAAATGGTTGGTGTGGTAGTGAGCTGGGACCCCGAACTGCAAGCCCCTCCAGAGTGGATTGACAGGATGTATTCCAGCTTTGAGGTGACTTTTCTTCCCTCCACTCACACTGTGTGTCATATACTGAGTGTTACCATAACGTATATATTTTATACTTTCAGTAGGTGTTTGTTAGCTTAGAATTAGCCAGTTTTCTGAATTCTGTGATCGTGCATTCAGGGCACCACAGCAGAGAAGACGCCTCATTACAAGGTTCTGTTCAGCGGGCCAGGACCCTCCTCTCTGTTAGTCGCATACTTGCCTCAGACGCAATTGGCGCGCATCACTGGGACGAGGGTAAGTTCTGGAAAATCACAGCATGTACACACACACACACACACACACACACACAATCGGTATGTTGTGGGCTCACTGATGGATGTTTTTAGCCAGAAATTCCCACCTTGGAGAATTACTTCACACATTTTGACGGGCAGCGGTTCATCATGAAGCCCTGGCTCAGAGAGCTCTTCCCTGAAGATGAGATCGAGGACGAGTGAGCGCTCAGTCTGAGAGAACTGTTTACCAGACAACTCAGTTTCTTCCTTCTGTGATGTTCTCGGACTCAGGTTCTTTTTGCCTGGGAAATCTACTGGAATCTGTCCATCACAGGTTGTAATGCCATCATCATCTTCAGAAACAATTACTGACCTGGTAGCCTAAGTGCCAGGCTCTGTGAAAATCAAGGATAATCATCAAACTCTTCCACGCTAATCTCAATATGAGGATGTCCTTTGGGGTTTTGGAGACCACTGATCCTGGGACTTAGGAAAGAATGGTTGAAATTATCTATCTAATGAAGACTTTGGACTATGACTGGTGCAGCCTTTAATTCTTCAAAATGTACAAACATACAGTATTTTAATTTAATTTAATATGTCTAAAACAACCAAAAAGATTAATTTAAATGTGTTTGCCTTTTAAAAAGATTTGAATGGTTGGAATATGAACCTTGACGTGACAAAATTGCTTTGAAAACCCAGTTATTCTTGACTGACATAACTGAAGCCCCCCAAAAAGCCTTTGAAAACTAAACTTTTGTTCAGGCATTCCAGCTATGCAATAAAGTTTTTTAAACTGTGACAATCAGCTCTTTTGGTTTTTATGAGTCAATGACAAAAGGCTCTAGAGTTTTTTCCTGTTTCTGTCTCTGAGGCTGAAGGAGACAGACACCCGTGAGGACGCAGTGACTGTGGGTGTACGGACAATGTGAGAAAAGGGTGTCGCACCCTGCCCTCCATCCTCCTCCTCATCATTATTCCTCCACTCTCTTGCTTCCTCCTCTCTGACTAGTAGGGGGTGTCCCAGACTTTGTCCCAGGAGCTGACTGACTTCACTGGCCTTCTGCTGAGCATTTTCAACTGCTGATACACATGCTCGCCTCCTAAAACACAAAACACTAGTTACAAGCGCTGCACTAAGCTAATGTAACACATTCAGTACATGTTTGCTGAGGCCTGTCCAGCTATGACTTCACAGTGCTGGTATGAGCGGCGCTTTGTTTAATCTTACCTCAGCTGACTCAGGCATCCTGCACTGTGGTAAAACTGTGGTGATCCCACACAAACGCTCTTGTCGAGCTTTTCCAACAGGACACTACATACCCGCTCCATCGTCTCAAAATCTGAAAAAGTGACCACGACCTATGGAAATATTGTTGCATTGTCATTTACAGTACAACCTATTCTGTAGGGTCAGTGAAAGGTTAATAGCATCATGGCACATTTAGATTGTTAGCATGTACTGAACCTCTGCATCCATGTGATATAGGTCTGCCTGTCGGTGGAGAAACCTCCTCACTGAAGTGTCTTCATCTTTGATGCCATGTTGTCTAAGCAGAATGGATGATGGGAAAATAATTATCAGACATTCAATGCAATCTAGAACAAGGTGAAATAAGCCCCCCCCCCTCTAAACACTGACAGTCTGCAGACCCTGTTGACCTCCAGATAGCTTCAATTATTACTGTTTCAGTACTACTACTGGTTCTATCTCTTTCATCCACGAGAATACCAAATAATTTGCATTTATATGGTTGAACAGTTTTGCTGTGTGGTAGGATTGCTACTTCAGCTTGAACAGAAGTTACAAGTACTTCTTCAAACACTATCCCACTGCTTGTTCACCGGATAAAGAGCCACACACAGTACAACTCCTTGTATTACTGTTCCCTCTGTGCCAACGATGCTATGTGGAGCAGCTAACTGCAGGCTAATGCTACTTTTCCAGTCACAACTTTTGTTTTCACCTGAGAGACTGTACAATGTATTCGAGTCGCCGTGAAACGCTGGTGGTGACCTCGTTCACTGACTCCTTGCTGTTATTCACACTGACCCGGACAGACACTCGGTCCGCTGGGCAGCAAACCTCTGCTGTTCCCGTCACCTGGACCTCCCTCACCCGGTTACTGGGACTCTGGCGATTAACTGTGCGTGTTTCCAGTTCCTGCTGTCTTTCATTACCGGCGAACCCATGACCAGTAGCCGATAGTATCGCGGATAATACTCGATTCGGGCTGTGCATAATGGAGACAGACCAAACCAACTTCCCGCTGCTATGGAAATAGACGAAATGCAAGTCGGGACTTGTAGTCTATATGCACCACGGAACTAGAAAGGATTACAAACAGGATTAGGCAACAAGAAATTAAAGGGCATATTAAAGATGTATTTAGTATAATGCCTTAAAACATCCCGGATTGCAGAACTATTATTAGCCAGCATTAATATTTTGTGCCCCTTATGTTTATTAGTGTATATTCAGATTACAGTAAACACTGGTTTATGGACAAGTTTATTAGTTTACTGGTGATGTTTAAAAACCAAAAAGTAAATCTGTTGCCCAAGGTGCTACTCCGTTTCCCAGTCATTTAGTGAATGGGCTGCCATCAGGATTTAGATCCGAATGGGTAATTAGCTAATCTTTCTCTCAGTGGACTGAATATTTTGTCATCTAGTTTTTGAAGTCTTTGGAATTTCAAGAGATACAGTACCTTCAGAACAATGGTGAGTGTTTTAAACAGGGTTTTCAATTTTTTTCCTGGTTAAGAAAACAAAGTGCTACTAATGCACGAGGGGCACATCAAACCTGCACATGTAAAGGGTGCCTTGGACACTGCAGATATCAAAAGTTAGTCCTTTATCACACCTGTAATTTGTTATCCTAATTACTTGATGAACTATTATTACACATGCATGAAACACTCCCTCATATTTACTGCCATTTTACAAAGAAACAAAGTGGCACCAGCATTGATAAAACATCTGCTCTTCATGCAAAACATAATCGGGTAAGTAGCTAGCAGTATATGATGTAACAAAAAGTTGGTGCATCATATACTGTAGTTCAAGTGTCATTTGAGTCAGTCTGTGTTTGTTTGGTCAGCAGGTGGCAGCAAAGTACAACAGTAATAGCAGTAAAACTATGGCAGCAGATGTGGTGGGTTAACTTCAGGCCTTTATATCCAGTACAGAGTTTTCAGTTCCTTTCAGTGATACTTTTTCATTATTGAGGATATAGCTCTCCACCATTTTTGAAAATAATTCTAATGATCAAAAGAGGAGAGGATAATATTAATACAAGTAATAATCTGTGTATTTCTTTTACACTGTATCAAAGAGTGATATTATTGCATAAAAAGGCAAATAAAGTTACAGCAGCTAATTTATCACCTTTATTTACATGATTTAAAGCAGTAATTCATGGTTAGTAATATTCAAATGAAAGAAATAATCACGATACAAAACAAACATACTGCATCAAAGTACTTTAGATTTACTGTATCATTATCAAGTTGTTTCTTTGTGTAGTGATGGGCAATAGAAATAACAGAGGACACTGTACTCAGTGTTTCTCATTCAAATCTCTCATGGTAGTTTGTAAGCTGTCTCTTCATGTTCTATAGACCTATTGTGTGGCCTCTTCTTTCATTTTTCAGTGACATTTGGAAACAGCAGAGATTTGATTCAATTTTGGACACTGGTTTCTTTAAACAGGGAAGTTTGTTTGGTTTCCCTGGAGTACTAAACTGTGAAACCCGCTTTATAATCACAAGCTAAAAATACAGAATCATATTTGTTGTTATTGTCTCTGGTTTCGCTGGTTCCTTGGTTTGCTCTGTGAAGCTTTACATCCGATGCTTGACTCAGGCCAGCAAGATGTAACACCCTACAGTAAGGAGGAGAATTGAGAATGAGGAAGAGGAGGAGACCTTTACAGTTAAATCTTCATTGAAGTCAGAGCACTTTCCTTTGGTGGCCTACGGCCCATTTAGCCGTTTTCACCCATCTCCCAGTGATCTGTTGCTCTAATCACTTCAATATATCTCTTCTCAGCTCCCCCCCACTTCTCTTTCCAGAAACATGGCTCACCCACAACGATTATAAATGCTTAGAGCAGCATAGGTGGGTGCTGTGGTGTTGTTGGAAATTATTTTTTCAATCAGTGATCACTGAAAGGTTACCAACCACTTATATAAACAAGAATCTATTTTACTCTTAACAGAATTAAGTCTTCATTCCCCCAATGTCTAATATTAGTTACTGTGATGCCTGCCATGAGAATATGTTTAAAGATTTATGGAAGCCAAAAAAAGGGTTGGTTGTGTAAATAAAAAGCTGGGTGAGCGGCTGAGGAGGATTTGCCCTTAGCTGTGTCCCTGGATGAGTGAAATGGGTCTGGGGGTCCTTAGATGGAGACTGTGGTCACTTAATGGAAAAGATTTGACTGTAATACTGTCTCTGAATGTGTTGATGTGTCTCTCCATCTCTTTTGCTCTCTCAGATGAAATAATAAAGTTGGCTATGTTGGAGGCCCTCCATGTCTCTCCATAGACCACAATCAAGGCCTGTGCAGTTGTACTGCAGTTTTATTTTCATATTGTCCAAGAAATCTCCAGGCTCCTTCCTGTACCCGCTGCTGTAAATTGAATATTTTGACTGTAATTCTCCCACTTTGCATTTTGGGTAGAGGCGTCCACTTTGTGTGTCCACAGCTGTCAACAGTCAAGAACTTTACTGTGAAAGAAAAAAAAGGTAAAGTTTCATTTTTTATTTCCCGTTAAAAGCAGATTCTGATGGAATTAAGAAAAGCGGTGAATGGAAATTTTCATTGTTTATGTCTCTGATGACCACTTTTATCAGTTATAAAAACCGACAATGTTCAGCTCTGTTTAACAGTAGGTTAAGGTGGTGATCGTTGTTTCATCAGCAGGAGGTACTAAGAACCTAACTCAAACGCGAACTGGAACTTTTTGGTCCTTAGTTAGGTGATCAGATTCTGACATAAAGAGTCTAAAACACTGGAGTCTGCTAATAAAATACCCACTATGTCAGTGTTTTTACTTGCAGAATGTAAAAAACCTTTTGAGGACATGACCTCTGAGTCTTCAGTGATCATTATGACCCTGGCAGTTAGTTGAACACAGCAGTTGTTAGACAGATTCCAGTATATGAATATAGTGGACTGGAAAATGCCAGCATGCTCACTATTTAGTTAACTTTCTCTGGAAAACACTGAAAAATAAAATTATATCAGTGAGCAGTCACTACAATTCTAATGCCTCTGCTAGACCAGTAAAGAGAATCATCATGCCACACTGGGAGGGTGTGTTTTTTTTAAAACCAATTACTAAAAATCCCTAAGTTATTTGTTACCTGTCTAAATGGTAATTCCCTCAGCTAATTACATAGTGACACCCAGGAAAAGATGAGAAAATGACTTCAAATAAAAGCAAAGTTTAGATGTTGTTGAATAAGATAAAATTTTGCTTTATGAATAAGTGGAATTGGAACCAGAAATACGACCCTCTCTCTGAGCAGCTACGCAGTCCCGCTCCTGAGAGACGAGCAGTGAGGCCAGTTCACTGCTGAGGTCCCTGCATGCCAGTATATTACCGGAGGTATTTTCTCATGCTGTCACTCAGCTCTGCTGCGTCCATCTCTGTAAACAGCTCGTAGCCAAATAAACAGTCCTGTCCGCAACCCCTCTCCACTCCCAATGCTGAATAGACCTTTGTGTCAGTGGATATTTTGACATGTCGCAGCAGGAAAAGCACAGGTGTAATTAATTACACTAAATGTTTCTGTGCACCAGTATTGTGGATGCTGGCTCACTGGCACGACTTGCCCGGACAGTTCAGTGATACAGAGCCAATGTTCATGTTATTATTAAAACCAGTGAGTTTTCTGCTTCGACAAGTCAACACATTTGCTGTGAGTTTCAATGACTGGTAATGTAGATGCAACATGTGTAATGTGGCTGCCAAAGAATTTTCAATGATTGGTTTCAACATTGTTTTTGTGTATGTAGATTCAAATAGCTGGTTTATAACTAAGGTGTTATGAAGCATTAGTTAAAGGATTGCGTTCAGTTTGGTTTAGGACCTCATTTATGCTTCACCAATGAGAGGTCTCCATGTTAGACCAATATGTGCTCACAGAAACACTTGGGGCAATGCCAAACCTGTTGTAAAGACTTCATAAAGACTCTAGATGTGCATTCCCCCTAATGATGGTGATGTATGTGAGCATTAGAGAAACAGAGATAGAGGCTGTCAGCAGGTCAACAATTGTGTGTTTGTTGTGCTACATTAGTATTAATGGAATCTGTATTGACATTCTGGTATTACAGTTGGCGGGGTTGTTGATATAAAATCTAAATGATCTAGTTTTCAGTGCTCTCCATTTTGTCTTTTCCTACAAATCTGTGTTTAAGGACTGGTTGGTTTCAGGGACCAATTAAAAGTTCAAAGGCAGCATTTACTACTGAAACTGGATCTAGTCTGCACTGAGGCTTTTCGCTAATGAGTACACTGCATATACACCACACACTCGGACACGCAGACAAAAAATGCATACAACACATGGAGGCCACAGCGATATTCCCCAGAAAGTCTGTTGTAACTGCAGGAACCATGACTTTTTGAGATCTATCATTGACTTAACAACCCTTTCAGCACCATGTCCCTGTTTGTTCACTCTTTTTATTGCTTTTCACATCTTATCTCCTACAAGCAGTAGTTCAGGCTGCTTTTCTGACCATCTGAAAAGTTTCCTTTCTTGAGAGCAGTTTTATTGGTAGAGCTTAAAATACAAATACATTTTTACTGAAATGTGTAAATGATTAAAAAACTAACAAAAAACTAAGCTTCTCCATAAAGTCATCTTCTGTAAATTTGAGTTTACATTTTATCAATATCAGTCTGTGTGTTTATATTTTTCTTTTTCATGAATACTTTTTAACTTTTTTAAACCTAGACAAGACAGTTTTAATCAAGTTCACAGCAGTGTTTGGTTTATGTTTGTAGGTGTAAGTGTGTGTTTCAGTAGAGGAGCTGAAGCTAGTGGAATCAATGGTTGAGGTTTAGCAGCTCAGAACATCAAACGTTTATTATTACCTTGTTTGCAGCAGATTTGCCTTCAGGGGTGAATCTCCAGCAGCGACCCTTGGCCCCTCCATGCAGCACCCCCCCTTTCCCTCTCCCGCCTCACATTTGTGGTACAAATGATGAAAAGTAGAATAAAAGAATACAGTGGAACAGTATTTGAGCTGGTCTGAGCTGAGGCTGCCATTCCTGGAA